GACACTTGGTGAGTTCCCTGACACACCGGGGACACATATTCATGTAGAAAAGACGTACAAAAGTGCATTTTGCATGATAGGTCCCCTTTAAGGACTAGAGTTTCCGGACGGACCTTTCAACAACATGCCTGGTAACGGTCCCTACAAGGTCTAGGTAACTTATAGACGGGGTTGAGGCTCCGTGTAGCGGCACTAAGCGTGGAGCTCTCTTACTACGTCATTCTGGTGGTGCTACAGGGAGAGCACGGTAGATGCTAGGAAAAATTGACACAAGAAAAGCCATATTGACTTCTATCAAAAAGACTAAATCCCTGGCTACCTCGGGGGAGTCTACGGTACCAGAAAGACAAGCCGGACTGAGGAGCAAACATCGCATTAGACCTGTCTTTAACACAGGGGTAAACGAAGACTTGTTTTATCTTATGTACACTTTAGTTAGATCAAGGTTAGCTTATTAACATTTTACCAATGACTCTGCTTTTCTGACCAAGAAGCCGCTTTTCTGTGCACTCTTTCTTGTGGGCGATCCAGTCCTTGTAGTTCTGATCCCGCTTCTCCAAAAGCCTCTTGTTATACGAATCCAGCTGCAACACAAACAAACAACTTTTAGAGTGGTAGCTTATGTCGCGGAAACACGGTTGTCTTGCATCATTTTGAAGGTTTCTATATTTAAAAAGTCCATAAACGAATCGCTGCAAGAAGCTCAAAACGCAACAGAGACCAGGGGAAACTAAAGAGTGACGCACACAGCTGAGAGACCAGGGGACACTAAAGAGTGACACACACAGCTGGGAGACCAGGGGACACTAAAGAGTGACGCACACAGCTGAGAGACCAGGGGACACTAAAGAGTGACGCACACAGCTGACAGACCAGGGGACACTAAAGAGTGACGCACACAGCTGAGAGACCAGGGGACACTAAAGAGTGACGCACACAGCTGGGACGCTTGGTGACATTCAGGATTATATATATTATATTCCTTATAAAGCTGAACAACTGTCTCTGTTGTTGGAAACTCACCTGAATTTTTCTCTGGTCTTATTTTAACAAAGTGATCACATGACTCCTTCTGATGTTACTGCAGATCTGGTGTAAGCTAGCTAGCTAACGTAGCTAACCTAGTCATTTCAGATATACTGACAAACACTGACAGTTATGAGACGACTAGTCTAGCACTTTGGTGCAAATGAAATGATGAGGTCTTTATAAAGGCTGCTACACACCAACCCGATTTTGGGAGTCAGAGGCCGTCAGAGGCAGTCGGGCATTTGCGGCGCCCTATTCAGGTTGGTGTGTCCCGCACCGTTATCTCTTTACGGCACATTTTCACACCAGTTGAATCGGCCGAGGGAGGCCAAAGGGATAAAGAAATCACTCTGATTGGCTGTTCAGCTTAGCGAGTCAGTGCATGAGAAGCGAAGCGGAAGTGAGGGACCAAAACAAACGATTAAGAAGGCACAGACGGCTAATCTTTTTCATTTTCATCTCACCCGGACGAAAGAGTTTCTTTTTTAAGTTTCCATGTTTTCGATCGACGAGAGAGAGTGAAAATGGAACCCAGACGCTATTTGTTGTTTGTTTATATCACGCAGCCTGTTCTTCTTCTCTCGGTGTATAGTCTGTCTTCCGGTTGTTGCCTCTTTTGAATGACGAATACACACTACCGCTGCCTGCTGGTAAGAACAGTTATTGCTACTCGTCGTCGTAGCGGACGTAAAAGTCGGGACGCCTTCAGTACGCGTTCTTTGGTCTCAGGTTGGTGTGTAGCGGCCTTTAAGCTTTCTTTAATAATTGTTTTCAAGCTAAATAATAAATAGTGGTCTACTGTCCGGTACATTTAAATCTTACCAGTCACTTGGACCACTGGCCGTACCATGGCACAATATGACTGTCCTACAGTAGGAACCATACCTTCTCCTTCTGCTTGTTCTTAATGTCGTCCTCCGTGGAGGTCTGAGAGCTGGACGGAGACGAGGAAGCGCTCGGTAAACTAAACTGCACGGATTTGACCGGCTTGGCTGGCTGCTGCACGGCCAGAGATTTCACAGTCTCTATGACCTTCAGGCACCGGGCCACCGTGGTAGAGATTGTGGACTGGTTAGGATCAGCAGGACTGGACGTTGGTGCTGATTCTGCGGCGGCGGTGGGGGGCGGCACAGAACCAGGGGAGATAAGGGGGGGGTCTGAGGGAGGGTGGCCAATAAAGGGAAAGACTGGAGTACCAGGGGGTGGAGCGAATGGAGGTTGTCCGAGAGGGCGCCGTGGTGGAGGTCCAGGAGGCGGTCCTGGAGGAAGATGTGCCGGATGCCGTGGAGGAGGTCCAGAGGGATACCTGAATGACTGGATGCCAGCTGCAGGAGGAGATGGAGTTCCCATGCTGGGGGGGGTGAAGCTCTGTGGGGGAAACTGGGTGGTGATCCCAAGGGGCCAGTTGACTGGTACGGGGGGGCGTTGGAAGTGGGTCGGCGGAGGCCCGGTAGGGGGAGTGGGGGAGTTGTTGTTCCCCATGTTCTTGCTAAGACTCTGCAGCTGCTGGGCCTTCTGAAGAGCCTCCAGCTCCTTCTGGTCCAGGAACCCTTCGTACTCCGAGACAGCTCTGGATTGGCTGCTAGGCTGCAGACTGGAGGACCTGGCTGGGGAGGGGGAGTGAATGTGATCCGATTCAATGGAACCTGTTCTACTCGGCTGCCGTTCCTCCCTCGGGGACGACAGCATATCTCTTTCTGTGGACGAGGACTTGGGGCTGTAGATCTTTTCCTGGGCTCGACTGGCCAGTTTGGACATGTCTCCGGTGCTCAGCTTCAGGCCGATCGAACGCAGCAGACTCTGGATCTTGTCGTAGGGTTCTGCAGTGTTCTTCACTTCCTCACTTGTTCTCTCTAATGAGGAGCGTTTTGGATTTGTCTTCTTCTGATCCAGAGCTATACTGGTGCCAGGTTGCTCTTGAGCAAGTCCTACGATCCGAGAGAAACCCCCGCCATCCTGAAGCGCCCTCTCATGAGGCAGCAGGTCATCGGTCAAAGGAACCGGTTCTGGTTGCTTCACAACATCCACCTTCTTATTGAGCATGTCGAGGAATCGGTCCAGCGGCTGCTGGGCCGAGGCGGGTCCCGGACGTGGTCTTGGGGAGGGGCTTCTGGGAGGCGGAACTGAGGGAGAAGGAGGTCTGTAAGGGTGTTGGGAAGAAGAAGTGGCAGGGATTTGCGTCAAGGGAGGCTGGGTGGAGGCAGCAGGAAGGTGTCCGTACTGAGTACCAGGTGAGGGATCTCGGCGTTCTGGAGACTGGCTCCGGTACGGATCCTCGTACCGCCGCTCTGCGTAGGCCGGGTCGTAGTAGCGGTCTCCGTGGGGTTCGTCGTAAACATCGTAGCGGTCGGTGTAGCGTGGGCCGGCAGACGGAGGGCCAGCATAGGCTGGTTCGCCATAGACTCGAGGGGGGTCACTGTTGGGACGATCGGCGTACGGGCGTTCGGGGTAGGAACCTGCAGGGTAGGGTTCCCCGTAGCGATAAGCGCTGTACTGCCGGTCGTAATATGGGTCGTCGTATGGGTGAGGAGCACGGAGTGGGTACTCGGGCCCCTCTCCTCGTCTCTTCAGGATGGACCGGACCGGTTTGTACTCTGAGAGCGGGACGGAGATCCTGCCGTGGTCATAGTCTATGCAGGTCCTCTGTCCGGGGTCCAGGTCCACCAGAGACTTCTTGTAGGCGATCATGTCGTTCAGCTCATCCAGCTCTCGCTTCTTCCTCACCAGCTCGTCGTCCACCACTCCTCCTCCTCGTCGGGGGGGAGGACTCGGCTCCCTCCTCCTCTTCAGAGCTTCATCTCTGCTGGTGATGCTCCTCTTCTTCACCTCCTCGACCCTTTCACGGCTCCTGCTCCGGCTCTTGGAGCGCCGTTTGGATCGATCCGGGCTCCGGCTTTTCCTCAACCGGCTGCCTCTACGTTCGGCGCTAGTGCTGCGTCTCTTTTTGATGAGTCGTCCGAACTGGTCTCTGAGCGGACTCTTGCTTTTACTCCTGCTCTTAGCCCTACTCCTAACCGGACTCCTGCTTCTGGCCTGACTCTTACCGGGACTCCTGCTTTTACTCCTGCTCCTAGCCCTACTCCTAGCTGGACTTTTGGCCCGACTCCTGCTTGGACTCCTGCTTTTACTCCTGCTTCTAGCCCGACTCCTGCTTGGACTCCTGCTTGGACTCCTGCTCCTGCCGTATCTTCGCCGAGAGGCACCGTAGTCCTTCCTGGTCTTGCTGTCCTGCGTTCGGAGGTTTTTTACCACAGCTTTCATCTTGTCCGTCTCTGGTTTATCTTTCCTGAAATATCAGAGGTGAGTTACAGAGAGATGTGTATTCCTGTACATCTCATATACTAAATGTGTGTAGATCAGTAATGAACCCATATAAATTAATCTCCTTCAATGAGATTATGCTTTTGTCTGTCAGCAGGATTACAGGATGAACTTCATGAAATGTAGTATTAAGGTGCAGCGTGGGCTAAAGACAACCCAATAAGGCTTTAAGAAGATCAAAATCAGCCCCAGTTTTAATTTAAAAAGCAAAACAAAAACTCTGGAAAACCATCAACATAGCCGTTTTCTACTGGCATCTTTAATCAGCTTATTTTTCCAACACAATATAACGTGTTAGTACTCACTCAGCGTCTTCTGAAGCTTTGGCCAGCTTGATGGTCATCTACAGAATATTAGACATCAGTTTAGAAAACACCATCAACAAATGCTTCCCATTGGTCACACACACACAGTTACATAACAAAGTAAATAACCAGATTTATGTTATACTTTAAATCAGTTTGTGCTACGTGAGAGTTCTGTAAAGTTCTGTAGGAGTCTAGAAAGACGGGAGGAATGAATGAAGTACATCAACAGAAGAGTTAGCGGTATTCCCCTCATACATACACCGTAACGTACGGATCATCCTCTGAGGGGATGCTCCAGAGGTGGGACCAAGTCATTGTTTTGCAAGTCCGAGTCAAGTCTCAAGTCTTTGCGCTCAAGTCCGAGTCAAGTCTCAAGTCTTTGCACTCAAGTTCAAGTCAAGTCCAAGTCCTAAACTTTGACAAAACGAGTCTTAAACAAGTCCTTAAGTGCTTTTCACCAAATGTAATGACATCCATCAACAGAATAATACTTAATAATCAAACTGCTCTTTATTAGTCACATTAATAATTTAATAATCAATTTTCTCTCTGCTGGTAAAGCCACGTGTTTTTTCTTCTATTTGAAGAGGGATCAGTAAGGTAAGGCACCCGTGACGGTTTGATTCAGAAGGAGTTTAATGTATAAGATCCCTGATGTTGAGGTAACAGAATGTTTATTTCCACTCTGTACAACATGTTATAAGGGACCCACAACCTATCTTTATGCAAGGGATAATGTGCAGCGAGGCGTCTCTATGGGTAAAAGAACACCTGAATCTAGATTCCTCTGCAGGTAGTTCTTTGAGTTGATGCTAATACTTTTGTACTTTTACTTGAGTAACATTTTGAATGCAGGACTTTTTATTGTAACCGAGTATTCCTACACTCTGCTACTTTACTCAAGTACAAGATCTGAACTTCTCCCACCTCTGACAATAAATCCTGAGTGGTTACCAAAACAAAACCCTGCTCTGAAGGTTATTTTCATTTTACAAATCCTGCACTCAGCTTTGCTTTCTCCAATATCATTGAAATGCAGCCAGACGCTGCTTCTCTCTGCACAGAGGGTTTTCTGTGCAGCTGGCCTGTCCCACTACACCTGCTGTGCCCCCCACCCTTCTTTCACATAATGGTATGATCCTAGTGTGTCCTCGCATATGATTGGCCACATGGTGGCCCAGCTAAATAAAGTCCCGACCCTGCCTGCAAGGATTCTCAGCTAGAGTAAGAGCGGCTGGAGACTCTGCTCTCCCCGACGGGAGTCTGCTCTTCTAGCGGCATCTCGCGATCGGTGTGTTGGAGACCCCTGAATTAAAGTATCAAGTCACCTCAAGTCAGAAGGCTCGAGTCCAAGTCAAGTCCTGAGTCATTGGTGTTCAAGTCCAAGTCGAGTCGCAGCTGTTTT